TCTCTCTCTCTCTCTCTCTCTCTCTCTCTCTCTCTTTGCACATCTGAGTGTGTGTGTCTGCGTGCGTGTATGCGTGCGTGTGTGCGAGAGTGTGTACGTTGGCGGGTACGTGTGTGCGTGCGTTATACGCTCTCGTATCTCAGTGTATGTCAGTTTTCCACAAGATTTACGGGAACTTCAGAATGTAATCTCATTTGGCAAACGTCTGTCTGACAGAGGATTATCAGAATACAATCAATGGCTGCATTAGTTTTAATTAAAATACCTGCATCAACAAATATCAGAGTTCGGGAATGAAATGTAGTTGATCGTGATCGCCCCCCCCCCCCTAAAGGGGCTCTCTTGGCCTAGAGGTTAAGGTGTTGGCCTCTCATTCAAAGGTCCCTGGTTTGAATCCGGAAAGCAACCGAAACATTTTCTTCTCCAAAATTGTCTCATTTCACCTCATTCCCTGCTCTCTAGCAATGTTCTGTCGTCTGCTTTCCTCTCCTTTTACTGCCCCCACTTCCTCGCCTCCTTTGCCCTCTCCTCTGGGCTTCTGACTCTTTCTGCAGCCTTGGTACTGCGTCTCCTTCGCTCCTTCTTACTGCTGTCTTTCAGCCACACCCCTGATCTTTTGGTAGGAAAGATCTACATCGAGCCTTATCGGACAAGTTGCGCACGTTAAAGGTCCCTTGGTGTCTAAAATAGATAACAGTAGGCTTCGGCCGTCACCCGGGCAAAATTCAAATTTCCTACCAACTGAAAAAGTTTAATGTGTCCCTCGCGCTCATATGACCTTATGCAGTAGCAAGCGCCGTAAAACACTTACCAAAAAAATAAAAAAATAAAATAAAAGAAATGATCGCCCCCTTCCCCCTCTCTTGTTCTCTCTTTTTCCCTTTCTCTTTCTCCGTGTATGTATGCAAGCGTTCGTATGTGTGAGTGCGTGTGTTCGCGCATGTGTGTGTGTGTGTGTGTTTGTGTGTGTGTGCTTATCTGTTTGCGTGTTTATGTTTGTACGTGTGTGCATATTTGCGCGCGCGCGCGCGCGAGAGAGAGAGAGACAGAGAGAGAGAGAGAGAGAGAAAGAGAGAGAAAGAGAGAGAAAGAAAGAGATAGATAACTAGATTGATAGAGAGAGTGAGTATGTTTATGAGTGTGTGTATGTGTGTGTGTGTGTG